CAAGCTATTCATGCGTTCGCGAAACGAATCGGGAAAGCGTACAAGTCAACGAAACGATAAAATACACGTAACGACGGAACAAGTCAAAACCCAAAAAACAGATAAAGCCCCTGGCGGCCGAGTCGCGCCAAAGCGGCCACCATTTGGTGGCCCGGCCAGGCCGAGCCACTAGGTGACTGTTCGGCCAAAAGTTGGTTTTCTCCGTTCTTTTATGGATTCTTTCGGGATTTTGGATTCCAACTGCTCTGATATTGTTGTTAGACAGTTACTAACTGAAGATAGAGGGAATCCCTCGTTTTGAGATGAAGAAACCATCAACCAAGCCTATAAATAAGAGCTCTAATGTTCATTTTTGGGAGGGGGGAGATCAAGAGGGCGAGGTGCTGCCGGTTTCTCAAGTGCATAGCCACGAATTTCGGAGAGGGTTAGCAGATCTTGGCGATCTCCTGTGCATAAAGAGTGGAGTTCAAGAGATCTGAGACCCATCCTCTATTCCTCCGGATTTAAGCTTAGTCTTAAATCCCGAGAAGAACCGTGATTTTGCTTAGTCAAAATCGCCGCTACTGCAATCACTTCCTTCGTGAAGTGAGAGCATTGATTATCTAACTTCTGCTAACCAGATCTGATCCGCGGCGGTCCACGGATATTAACGTCCCCGGCACAGGCAAAGAATCCACACAAGCAGCGGGTGATAAACGTCCGTTGCGCTGTTTGACAAGAGTTGTAATCTTTATTTTCATTGTGTAAAGAAGATCTTATAAAAAGATTAACTTTTCTTTTCGTTTGAGTTTATTGTAATGACCAAAGTTGTAATAGATTCGATGACAATGAAAACATCAACTTTTGACCCAAACACCGTCTTCACATCAAGTTGCTCAAGCTCTAAATTAAAATGAGCAACCATGGCAAGAAACACACGGATTAAGGTGTGTTTTACAACTGGAGAGAATACTTCATTGAAGTCTACACATTCGGTCTGACTGTAACCTTTTGCTACCAAGCGTGCCTTGTACCTTATAAAATCTGTATCCGGAGCTCCTTCTTTCTTCTTGAAGACCGATTTACATCCAACGATCTGCTGTCCCCTTAATGGCTTCACTAGCTCCCATGTCTGGTTTTTGTGAAGAGACTCCATCTCTTCAGTCATCGCAACAGTCCAATTTGCAGCCTCATTACCACTAATAGCCTCCTTATAAGTAGAAGGCTCTGGAACCTCAATCCATTCTGCTATACTCAAAGCATAAGCAAGCATGTCTGTATAGCGTTGAGGAGGTCGGATCTGCCTTTTTGTTCTCCCGGTGGCAATATTATATTGTTGCTCTTGTGGTGTATCAGCATCTGAAGTTGAACCTTTCGCAGTATCAACTGGTTCAACATGAGTGCCCTCAAGCACTCTCTTTGAAGCTGAGCTCTCTAGCTCCACCTTCTTGGTAGACTCCTTTTCAGTACCTGTAGGATCAATAACAAACTCCTTTCTCGGATGAAGCATGGATTTTTTATCAAAAGTAACATCCCTACTAATAATAAACTTAGGTGACTTGGGATCAGAACACCACAATCTAAATCCCTTCACCCTAGTAGCATATCCTAGAAAGATAGCTTTCTTTGCTCTGGGTTCAAGCTTACCATCATTAACATGAAAATAAGTAGAGCAACCAAATACTCTTAGGGCTTGTTTGGATTGAGGGGAATAAGAGTAAATGGAAGTTAGGGGAACCATTCACCTTGTTTGTGAACATTTAGGAGGTGAAATTATTCACCCTAGTTCCCCTTGGTTCACCCCCTAATAGTATAAAATTTGTTACCCCCCAAATTGGGGTGTAACCAAGGGGAAGGGAACTCCCTTCCCTTCCCTTCCATTCTCTCACCTAGTTTCCCTTAACTTCCCTTAACCCCATTGAAATCCAAACACACCCTTAAATGAGAGTAATTAGCGGGGGTACCAGACTATATCTCTTCTGGAGTCTTAAAATCAATTGCTGTAGAAGGAGATATGTTTACCAAATAGCAAGCTGTATTGACTGCCTCGGCCTAAAAGTCTTTTGATAAACCGGCATTAGAGAGCATGTACCGAGCTCTCTTTAAAAGTGTTCTGTTCATCCTTTCTGCAACTCCATTTTGCTGTTGTGTATGCCGAACTGTACGATGACGCACAATACCTTTATTCTTGCAGAACTGGTCAAACTCTGTGGAACAAAACTCCATCCCATTGTCGGTTCTGAGGCGCTTCACTTTCTTTCCTGTTTGCTTCTCAATCATAACCTTCCATTGCTTGAAGGTTACAAACACATCACTCTTATTCTTCAAAGGATACACCCAAACTTTTCTGGAATAATCATCAATCAATGTTAGCAGAAAACGAGCTCCACCTTTCGATGGAACCTGAGAGGGACCCCAAACATCTGATTGGATATAATCTAAAGTATCATTGGTTCTATGGACACCGGTACTAAAGGATACTCTATGGTGTTTGCCGAAAACACAATGCTTACAAAAGTCTAATTTGCTGGTTTTCTGACCACAAAGCAGACCTTGTTTGCTCAATATATCCAGTCCTCTCTCACTCATATGTCCTAACCGCATATGCCACAAATATGTAGTGTCTGAATATGAATCCTCTGAGGATGATACTGCTGCAGCACTTGTTAATGTACTGCCTTCAAGGATATAGAGGGTATTTACCTTCTTTTCTTTCATCACAACAAGAGAGCCTTTAGTAACTCTCAAAACTCCACCTTCAGCCAAAAACTTAAAACTATTTGAGTTAAGGGTGCCTAAAGAAGTGAGGTTCTTCTTTAACTCTGGAATATGACGGACATTGCTCAATGTTCTAACAATACCATCATGTGTTCTAATCTTAATTAATTCGATACCAACAGTCTTACAAGGCATGTTATTTCCCAACAAGACATTCCCACCATCGATAGACTGATATGTGACAAACCAATTCCTATATGGACATATATGGTAGGAAAAACCCGAATCAAGAACCCACCCATCTTGTGAATGAGTATTAATACTAATTGAAAGAACGTCATGTGAACTAGAAGAATCTTCAGTTACAATGGCAACTGAAGGTTTTACATCCCCAGACTTCGACTGTGAATTGTCCTTTGCTTTGAGCGCTGGACAATTTGGTTTTATATGCCCATATTTGTGACAGTAATAATATTCAATATTTCTTCTTGGCCTGGACTTTGATCTAGACATGTTTCTAGATTTGCCTCTACCACCAACACCCTTTTCAGGACGACCACGAGCGAACAAGCCTTCAGCTTGATCCTCTCCTCCTACGACAGACACTTTCTGCCCTAACTCTTTTGAATGTAAGGCTGATTTGACATCCTCCAAAGAAAGTGTATCTCTACAGTATAATATGCTATTGACAAAATTTTCATAGGAATGAGGTCATGAACATAACAAGATGAGTGCTTGATCTTCTTCGTCAATTTTAACATTAATATTCTTTAAATCCATAAGAATAGTGTTAAGTTCATCTAAGTGGTCTTTTAATTCGCATACGTTCCTTCATGCGAAGGGTGAAGAGGCGTTGCTTCAAGTAAAGCTTGTTTGTCATAGATTTCGTCATGTACAAGCTCTCCAACTTGAACCACAAGTCGGTGGCAGTATCTTCATTTGCAACCTCCCGTAGGACCTCATCGGCCAAACAGAGCTGTATGGCACTATGCGTCTTTATCTCCAGCTCTTCTTTCTCATCATCGGACATAGATTCCAGTAACTTATCCTTTTCGGATAAGACTGAATAGTCCTTGTTGTACTAGGAGAGCCCTCATTTTTACTCTCCATAAACTGAAGCTGTTTCTCCCATCGAATTTCTCCACTTTGTATTTCGCAGAAGACATCTTGAAGCTAACTAGAACAGTAACTGTATTGAACAGTAATCATATTTGCGAACAGTAACCGTACGTATGAATAGTAACACTACTTTTAAATAGTACCGTACATGCGAATAGTACCCAATGCCTTTAAAGAGTAAATGATAATCTAATTTATTTTCTGATGTGGAGGATCCACTTTTAGTGGAAGCCACGGAGCATACGATAAGCAGATACACGTACTCTAAGTCAGGTTCTGATACCAGTTTGTTGTAACGGAGGGGCTTCACAGACACAGAAGATGTCTATACAAGGGTGGACAAATAAAAAACAACACACCAGAATTTAACGTGGTTCGGTCAGTATGACCTATGTCCACGGGCAAGAATAACAGAGAAATTTACTAACCACCAAAAGAAAAGAATACAAAAGAGGAGACCACTCTCTAACTAGACTTTCACAAAGAAAGGGATAACCTTTCTATCTCACTCTCTTCTCTCTCTATTCAACTCTTTTCTTTTCTTTCTCTGAGTTTGTTCGTGCTCTGAGAACTCTCCACAACCTCCCTTTTATAAGCTCAAAATATTAATAAAATAATACAAGAATGGTTGGTGAGTTTTGACAATTGAAAGAAAACGTCAGAGAGAGGGTTGGAGAGGTTTGATTTTTCCTTCATCTTCAAAGTCACGTTCACAAATATTGCCGGAAAAAAAAGAACTATGTAAAAACCGCAGATTAATATAGGTGATTTTTTATCATATTTTTTTAATTTTGGACAACCCAACTCGAATCGGACCCATGATCATCCGCGATGGGCACATATGTGGACTTAATAATATATGTTTTTCAAACAAAAAAAAGGAGAAAAGTTCAAACAGTTCACAAACCTATTTCACATAAAAAAAAAAATTCTGTAACCACAAGTGCTTATCTAGTATCCTATGTAACCATAAGTACTTACCATGAATATAACAGAGATTTCTCCAATCTTCACAAGGACGTTAAGCCTTTGAACAGAAAAATATTACTTTCTAAGTGTAAACCCATAATAAGTATCTCACTCAATCAATTTTATGCATTATATCTATCGTTAGGATATATTTGTTTAAAAACATCTAGTTTATAAGATAATTCACATACGAAAATAGACTAAGCAAAGGAAAATCCCAAAAAAAATTCAACAACGATCTACTTCAACGAAGCAACTTTAAGTGCAGGTAACCAAAGCAAACCAAATGACAATAATTCTTCAAAATTCAAAGTTCAACCTAAAGAGATGCAACAAGATGTTGCACATCTGAACACACAACCACTAGTCAATCAACTCTACTAGGTAGAAATAATTAATAAAACCTAAGACAATGCTCTGAGTGCAAGAGCACCAAACAGCATCATGAAAGAAGCAGAGATGGCTATTGATCCGGAGGAGACATTTTCAGCAGGCGGAGCAGGAGGAGAAAGTTCTACGGGTGATGGAGCGGGTACAGGCATCGGAGATGGAGATGGAGTTGGTGTTGGTGCCGAAGATGGAGTTGGTGCCGGAGTTGGAGATGGAGATGGAGTTGGCGTTGGAGTTGGCGGCGACGATGAGGGTGTAGGTTTCGGTGGAGCTGCATTACATCAAGAGAAATGAAAGTAATCGTTGCATTAGAGTAGTATATCCTCAGATTATAAAGTAGGCTCTCAAGCAAAATATTTGATGTATAACGACATGAAAACTATTTTGTTAATCATAACAATTTGATAATATTTAAATTGTTAAGATTTTGTAATTATTGATAGCAATATATTTTTCATGATTTGTATTTATGTTACTTTTTATATCAAACAAATAATTGTCCGGTGTCCATTAACAGTGGACGGTTGTGCTTGAGGAAATTATAAATTTCTATTTTAGATGTACCAAACATACTAATACAAAGAGAATGAAAAAAGAGCGACTACCTCACTTAAAAAAAGAGAACATACTTGATATTTAAATCTGTTTATTGCAACTGTTTATGATTGAGACGAATCATAACTATCCATATGAAATAATAGGCAATATATATGATTAAAAAGATGATCACTATACTACTAAAGTGAGTCCAAACCTTAGAAACTAGAAAAGAAAAAGGGTGAATATATTAAACCACTATATAACTGTGATTCAAAAATCTAATCCCCTATGTGTTTCTTGATATACATTTAGTTAGAAAGTGATATACTCTAAATACTAAAAGATGATGTCTGAAGACAATTTCTTACACTCCATTTTCTTGTAGAATTTTTTTTTTTTAAAAAAAAAGACAAATTTACCTTTGCATTCATGGGGTAACTTAACAGAACAAGCCTGTGGTATGGTATGAGCCCGAGTCATGTTGACATTGAAGCCAGGAAGGGAGCTAAAAATGGGACAAACGCAGTCAGGGGTCTTTTCGACGAGAGAAGCCAAAGCTATGCAACAATTCTTATTAGGCGTAGTCACATTAGACCCCATGGCTGCATAATCCAAACAAGGAGAGAGATTTAAGATGAGACCGTCGCATTTATTGGCAACCGGTGGTGGCGAAGGAGAAACGGCGGAGGAGAGAGAGAGAATGGCTAGGAGAGAGACGAAGAAGAAGTGCTTTTTCATTTTTGCTTTTTGGAATCTTAGTCGGATTGGAATGAGATAATGCGCATTTATAATAAGAAGCTAGGGAGTTTGAGGAAATATTTGTTAGTTTCATGTTTGTTAGGATTCTTGTATTTTGATGTCATCTTTAGTCTAATAGGAGGGATTTCAGAATATTTTTGGTGTTATCAACTGGTACACATAGCAGATGCATTATTCATTTATTTGACAAGTAACTCAAGTTTTGCGGAGCCCATAATTTCTTCCTTCTCATAATAATTTTGAATTTTGATACCCATTGATATTACAAGTTCTCTTTGTGCACTCGATCCTTTCCAAACTACGTACAAAAAGGTTAAAATTTTCAAATTCATTAGATACAATTTCAAAAGCCCTTGGCTCCAAAAGTAATATACATGCCAAACATACAAATAGTCTGGGATATTTGGGATATTTATCAAATAAATTGACGGACATTAGTTGGCATTCATATTTGAGTTTTCTTCAAAAGTTTGGACACATGTACCACTATCTTCCTCTGGCACGTGTGAGCAGCTTGTTGTGGCTTCTGCGGGCTCATGTGAGACTATTGGCGGCAAATCTTGGGATGCGCTTGGTCGCTGCAATATGCATTCATGACATTATAAGTCTGTTATCTAAGAATAACAATATAGGAGACTCTTAAATTAAGAAAACTAATACAATGTAATATTTTAAAAGGTTAATTAAATTTTAATTCAGTAAACGAGATCTTAGGTGAAACTTAATGTGCTATTTTTTCTTCAAAAATGGAGAATACTAGGCGGACTTATGCTATAAATAAATAAATAAATAATATTTTTAATCAACTTTCCTAATTTTATTGGTCTATTTTCTCCCATGTCTAAATACAACTATGGCTATGCTTGGCAACTTTAGATTATAACCCACTTAGTTTATAACCCACAAAATGACTTATAATTCAAGTGAATAGAATCTAAAGTGCTTGATAAGCTTAATAGATTATAACCCATTTCGAACAGTAAAATGTTCGGCAGATGAGTGACTTCTAATCTATATTTGTTCTTAAAATGACCAAAAAAAGTTGAAAATATAGAATAGAGAGCTTTTGAATTTTCTTAAATGTTAAGGTATATCATGGTCTTTTACTTGGTCAAACTATGTGGCTTATAAGCCACCAAAAATTAACCTGGGTTACCCTAGCTTATATTTTTTTAGACTTATAAGAAAAAAAAAAAAAAGGTGTTTGCCAAACATGTTCTATATACGATAGATCCTAACAAAAAGCTAATGGCATTAATCATAAAACAATATTATTTATCATGTATCTGCTATCTCCATAAGTATTACTTCGATACAACTTTAATCTAGTAGATCATAGTCTTAATTCTGTATTTCATCCATCAGTATTCAATTTCCCATTGTATAACTCTGTTTTCACTTATAAGTGAAAACAGAGTAGTATTCAAACAAACATAAAAATATAGCAACTGTTAATAATACCGATCATTTCTTCAATGGCAAGATAAAAGACCTGCATCATAGGAAAAGGGTTGGGTTGAATAAAAGCCGTGAGAAGCTCTGTTGACGTGTACGCTTGATGCCACGGGTCATTCTGGTTGCCGATTTGGCAGCCAGCTATTCGTGGGTCCATTTGTAGACCAGCACCCGATGACATGGGGTCATAAATTCCATGATCCCTGTCCATTACGTCAAAAAGTTTACTACATTAAATAAAATCACACCTACATATTAACCATCATGCTTTTCTTAAAAAAAAGGTTAATCGCATATAGACCTCATTTAGTATCGTGTTTCAAACTTATTGTCCTGATAGTTTCATTTTGACTCCCGAGAACCTTTTTTTTTTTACTCTTTTAACCCTTGATAGATTAACTAATTTCACCTATAGACTATGTCTGTTAAAATTTTTTCTCAAGAATAAAACAAAAATAATTAACCTGGGGTCTATCCGCCATACTAAAAGTACATAGATGGTCATATGATGAGATGTACCTAATGGGCAGTAGAGAATCATGAACCATAAAAATTTGGTTGTTAGAGCTGGGTGCTCCTTCTGGGATCCACTGGCCCACATCATTCCCAAATGCATTGGTCATTCCCTCTTGAGGAGGTTGCAGGAACATCTAAACCATTTTTTAAAAAATAAATCCATCAAACATTTATTAATTGAATTTGATAATTTAAGTCACAGGATATGATCTTATGTCTCCATTCAAAAATATATTAATTTTGAGTGATTTACCTGCAAGTTAGAGGAGGATGGATCATAGGACGATAGATGATTACTCAGCAAATATTTCTGCAATTAAAAAGTGATAATTAAAATACTTATTAAGAAAAAAGTTGTTATAAAAATAAATAAATAAATAAAGTTGTGCCCGGTCATGACCATTTGGTTTAAAACTCCCTGTTTAGGGTAAATTACATGCATCCTTCTCAAAGTTTGTCATGATTGATATACGTATAGCTTACTTTTCAATATTTTTCACTCACGCAATTTACTTTGTTAGCACTGTGACATCTTAAAGGTTAAAAATGATCATGTGATGATCATATAAATTTTTAAAAAAATTCGTAATTTGAAAATAAAGGATTAAACTTCATAATGTTTCCTTCCATACGATAAATTTTAAATCCAATATTATCTTTTGTTAGGTTTAAAATACTCATTAGGTAGATTGCCTAGGCTGGGCCTAATTGAGTAAAAAATGATTAGTTATTTTTGAGCCATGAATCTAAACATATCTAACGACAATTAACTACAGGCGAGCAGAAAAAGGAAAATATTTACTAGCAAACAAGAAAGAAAAAAAAACATATCTTGGTCCGCGTGAACCTTGGATATGTGCTGAAAATAAAACTTCACGATGGAGAAATGTGCAGTCATGAAAAATAAAATCAAGGGATCTATCATGTAATTTACTAACTTACGGAGTTATATGTTTTTTTTTTGAATGTTTGGCTTCCTTTAATTTGTTTGATGAAACATTTGATAAAAATACAAAATAGTGTG